TTTTGATAATAAATAAATGCTTTATGTTCATCCTTTTCAACTCCAATTCCGTTATAATAACATTGCCCAACATAATATGTTCTGCTATCATGACCCAAATCAGCAGATTTTTGATAATGAATTAATGCCTTATGTTCATCCTTTTCAACTCCGATTCCATTTTTATAACAATACCCAACATGATTCATTCTCATAACGTGTCCCATCTCTGCAGATTTTTGATAATAAATGAATGCCTTATATTCATCCTTTTCAACTCCAATTCCATTTCGATAGCAATATCCAACATTAAATGTCCCATCAGCATCCCCTATATCTGCAGATTTTTGATAATAAATGAATGCCTCATGTTCATCCTTTTCAATTACAATTCCTTCTTGGTAACAATTGGCAACAATATTTATTCCTCTATCACAACCCATATCAGCGGATTCTTGATTAGGTGTTTTTTTTTGATTTAAATAACTTCAAAATTCATTGAGATATGAGCTGTAAAAATCAAGGTAGAAGCTAAATTACTTTTTCTTTACCGGTCCTGACCTTTGGAAATTTTACCATTATAATCAATTATGTTGCTGATAATTTTCTTGAATAACCTCTACGTAGGTATTAAAATGTCTATCTGCTTGATTTCTACTAATGGACTGTTAGATTACAGTAGTTTAAAAATCGGTTAATATCCTAATTAATATCCTACATATATATAACGCATGATTGTTTAAACTTTATCAACATTTTATGAGTTATGCCAATTAAAACTAAAATATTCAAGTTCTTACTGTGACGAACTGATTTTTGAGATTTTATTAATTCGGGATTATTATTGTCGGGATTTTATTAATTCGGGATTATTATTGTCGGGATTTTATTAATTTGGGATTATTAATTGCTAGGATTTTATTAATTTGGGATTATAAATTGTCGGGATTTGTTTTTTCAAGATTTTAGTTTTCGGGAAGTCAATATTTCGGGATAATAACCTTTTGGGATTTTGTTCACGGGATTTAGGCCTGTCGGGATTTTGTATATCAGAATTCTGTACTAAATCCGAAAATGGAACCTGTCAAAAAATAGTAATTAAAATTTTATATAATTTTTTAAAAATAAAATTTCGTCAAAAATTAATTAGAAACAAATAAAGGCTTCACCAAAGAATAGGAATTGAAATTTTACACAATTTTTTAAAAACGAATTTTCGTCGAAAAATAATTAAAAATGAATAAAGGCTTCATTTGAGCGAAAATGGATTTTGTCAAAGAAATTTTACAAAATGAAATGAATAAGTCGACAAGTATGCGTGTCGCTGTATTGTAATATATATTAGTCACCTGATATTATTAATTACATACTGTCATTATTCCCATATAGCTTTACATTTTTGTTTCTGCCAGAACAATAGGTATATCCCAAATAATAAAAATTCTTAGAGAAAATTAGTACTCCGCAAAATCAAATCAAAATTTGAATTTGAATCAAATTTTTGAAAATATTGATTTTGCGGAGCACTAGAGAAAATGTTACTATAAGACATTTTCTGATTTCAATCATCATAAAACCAAATTTTCAACATCATTTTTAGCGAGTATAACTATGCCTAACAAAAATTATGAAATAAAGCATTTATATTGAATTTTTGGCTAAGAAATCACTTAAAATCACATGATGAGACGACAATCAGGTGAGCAGCGAAAGCGACAAAATATCCTAGATTTAGCGTAAAACATTAATAATATATGAAATTTTCATAGCAAAGCACCAATTTAGCTTCTTACTAGCACTATTAACGAGGTTTTTTGACTGAATATGAAAATTTTCTAATTTTCATACTCAGTCAAAAAGCCTCGTTAATAGTGCTAGTAAGAAGCTAAATTAGTGCTTTGCTATGAAAATTTCATATATTATTAATGTTTTACGCTAAATCTAGGATATTTTATCGCTTCCGCAAAAATGTAAGATTTCCGCAAAGTACACATTTTGATCAAGGCCGGTAGGCTGATTTGTTTTGTTGACTTTGGGATCTGTCATCATATCAATAATTATTTAAGAACAAGTTCGCGGTTATTATAGAAATCTTACAAACGCTCAGGAAACAATATGAATTTACAAAAACTGAAATTGAGTTTCGGTTTCGACAAGAGTTTACCAATGACATTTTGCAAGTCAAAATATTTTCGAAACAACATTGAATATGATGTACAGAATTTAACTAAATATCTCTATATAAATTTTTTGACTAATTCTAGTAAGAAAAGTATTCTTAAACTTTAGCAACTGTAGCTATTGTAATCCATGAATGTCCAATCTTACTCTAGTCTCATGGACTCATGGGCAGAAGTTTCTGATTGTCTAATGCAAATTAATTGCCGGGCTACTTATTTATATCTTGATATTTTTTAAGGACCTTTACATTTTTTTTAGTCTCAAATAAGTGCTAGAAAGCTAACTTTAAAATAATCTTTAATATCTTTATTTTGAAAGGAGATACTTAAAAATTAAGGGCTAAAATGTTAGGGATGTTAGGGTTGTAGTTATAATAATAGAATATCAATTATTATTTATGCAAATTTTCATTTGACATTTTTTCTTATGCTCACGTAATTCACTATAATAACGATCAATTACGGCATTGCACTCGCATCTACGAAGGAATGAAATATAGGTTATGTTTTATTTTAAATATTATATATTTAATAGTCCAAAAAATTTATTTGAAAATTGCTAAAATGGACCTTTCTAATAATTTGCCGATTTTTTGGTATTAGGCTCTCATCTCTCCGAGTTTGATTGGATTTACCGTTACTGGTGTGAAAATGACTGACGCAAGATAAAGATTGATACACATGGCAGCATGTAAACTCTAAGCAGAATTAGAAATGGTTGGTTTCGACACTTATATGCGAAGAAACGGCACATAAGAATAGTTATAAAGAACATCTCAAATTATCATAGCCTTACCTCGTGACTCTAATATGGTTAGAATAGAAAAAAACTTTTCTGGTGTATCTGTATCTCCATTAATTTTCACGAGATAAAGCATTACAATCATTAGCCTTAATGTTAAAAGTTGTGTTCTTTTTTTCTCTATAACAATGAATGCATTCTAGTTCACAGGTTAAAGCGAGTCACATTGTGATGACAATATTAAAGGATAGATTTTTGCAAAGTTAATTAGATATACAAATGAAAAATACCTTGTTCTTGATATTTACTAGATTCTATTTAACCATTTCCATTCATGTCGTTTAAGTTCTTTGGAAGTTTGATACTGACTTTTAAAAATTTAGTACCATATTTGTCTTTCCACCGATAATGCTTAAAATTTGGCTGTCATTAACGTTATGCCTTCGGACATCTCTTTGATGATTTTAAATGAGTTCTGGAGGAACTATATTTTTATTTTTTTTCGGATTGAACTCTCCCAATTTGCATTAAAAAGCTGTTTTTAACAATAAATATAAAAACTAAAAACAATAAAAATAAATAAATAAATAAAAAAGTAAATAAATAAAAATACATAAATAAAATAAAATCAATCATTGTATTTACCTGGAGAAATAGATTTTACTTTTCTTGATGATTATGATTGATATTTCTTTTTTTCTTTTAAGCATATTTTTATATTGCTCAAAGGTTTTTAACGTTACCCCGACTGAAATAATTCTCATGTCTCCAAATACTTGGTCTAATATAAAGTTCTATATAGGACACTAAACCATGCTTTAAGGTTATTATTGAATTTCCACTCTTTTTCGGACTCTGTAAAATGCTTTTATGATTTTATGCTAGCATTAATAAAATTATTTAGTATAAATATTAGAGTCACAAGAATTACTTACAGAGAGTATATTGCAAATATTATGTAATCAACATCGTGATCTTTTTTCAAAATTATACTTGTTATCAAAGCTAATTTCTTTAAGTATTAACTTTCTCCACGAAGAGACAAAGAGGTCAAGGTCGTGTTCTTGCTGAGATAATGTGTTATTTTCTTCTCAATAATCGCTAATTTCGATTCGGTATCATCTCCAGTAACATTTTTCTGAATTCTATTATATTGGTTACCAGGGAAAAAGGTTGAAAATTATTGAAGTGCATTTAACAATAAATAAATTAATAAGATATAAGGAAGATTACTATATTTACCTTACCAACAAATTTACTTAGACAATTTAATAAGTTTTCATCTAATTCAGTAATAACTAGACTTGGTGTCTAATCTATTTCTTCGATTTCTTTTTTATTAAACCGATTCAATGCGACTTTATCTTCAATATGAAAGAATGAACCTTACTAGAAATATAAATTCTATTGAGATCTCTTCTCGTAATTATCAAATTGAGATGCAATTTGTATGCTTACTGTATTCGCGGGTCTAATTAATGACTTTCGCTACTAAAAAGATCTAACCCCAGATGGTAAGTACTTAATAATCAACGTCCATGGCAACATGGGCATACGTTCAAAAGCAAATTTTATTTTCGTATTTGATTTTATTAGAGGCACTTACTAATTTTTTTCACATTACTTATAAATATTACACCATTTATAGTCTTTTAACACGAATAACGAAATCTAAATTACGTAAAGAAAAATTATGAGCAAGGATCATAATAATACGTGCTAAAAATGCTATTTGGCTTTAGAAGTCTTAATAATAAAAACGAATTAATTTTTTATTTTATTAAAAAAAATTTCATCGTATTATTTAAATTTAAATTTGCGTGAATTGAAATTCTAATGAGCAATTTTACTTGGTATGTTAGCTAGTGGTTTATTAGTAAAATTTGGTTAATTCCGGAAGCTCGGGTTACACAAAAGTCTAACCTACTACTGTACTAAAAAATAGTATATTAGATTGATTACACTGTGACTATTATATTCATGTGATTTTAAACTTCAACTACGTTATGAGCAACACAGTAATAAAGATATTCAAAAAATTTGATGTGTACATGAAAGATATAATTGCAGTATACGCATTGTAAAAAATATGAAAAACATTAATTTTTATCAGGTTCTTCGGAAGTTGGCGTCAACAATCTTAAAGCATATGGGTTAAACACATAATCTTCTAAAATTTTCTCCAATGCCAAAATTCTATTTTCTAATCTAGTTACTTTTCTTTCAGTAGTAATTTGATCATCAAATACTAAATCAATTTTTGAGACAAATGGCAAGTCCACATAACGAAAACCATCTCTTTCTATTTTCGGCTTCATTATTAAATGCATTAAGCCTCTTTTATAAGATGAAAAAATATATATTTTGATTAGAACTTTAAAAAAATTTAATGCAAACTTTTCAACTTACCAAGTATTATTTCTTGGCCGTCCAAAAAGCAAGATATAAATTCCAGTAATCAATCCTATTAAGGTTATTCAACAAAAATGAGGTAAACAAAGTGTTTATTTTATAGTGAATTCATAATTTAATCTCGCCAAAACCACCACCAAGCACTCCCAGGGAAATAAAAATAGTATGTGAACTAATAACAAGAAAAAAAAAGATTGAAATTTTAATATAATTTAAAAATAATAAATGTTAAATAGTTATATAATTTACAGCTTTTCAGATTGCACATTGTGAAAAAAACTACCCGGAGCAACATTAAAGTGACCATGAAAAATACCAGCCGAGACATTTTAATTTGGATGCATTGGAAAATATCTTGATATGACATTTAAATAAGATATGCTATGATAATTAGGAATCGTCCCGAAAATTGCAGAAACATCATGAGTAAAATAGATTGTACGGTTTGTTTTGTAAAATAAACCTAAGTTTAAAAATTAAGTATTAAAATTTGGTATTTATAAAGATATATTCTAAATACTTTACCATAGTAGACATATTTTGAATAGCAGAAAATGCATTCATTTGCAATTTTAGCATTTGATTCTCATACAAATCTATGTCACTTTTTGCATTTCCCTTCCATAAGAGATTAAAATCTGTATATTACCGATTAGAAAGACTATTAATTAGAAACAAAACGATACGTTGATTGTTTACTGATAAATGGAACCGAAACATACCTGGATCTATTAATTGCACGTCAATAGTGCCCACGGATAAGAATCTGGAAGCCATGTTTGTAATATTATTTATTCTGAAATAAAAATCAATATTTCGCACCCATGGTCGGGTAAGGTTGATTTCTGGGTTACCAAAAAAATAGGTAGAATTACTCTCTAAAAGATAACAATGTATGTTATTTTCTACACAGGAACGTTGAATAAACTTGGTACAATTGTCAAATGTAGCTGAATTCCAGTCATCAAAAATAAAAACACATTTAGTTATTTGGAAGTCACTTTCACTACAACATAATTCTATATCTTTGTAAAATATAAGCAAGTAATCTGTTAAACTTTATTAAATTGGTTATAAATTTTAACACTGCCAATACTGTATATATACCTGGAATATTAAGTTGATTTAAGTATTCACGTGTTAATTGAATCAATGGTTTGTCAGTGACGACTTGAAATATGAGATATGCTATATATAACATAATGAGAAGGAATATTGTAAAACTAATCACAAGTCTAAGCCACCAAAACCTTTTTGATTCTAGAAGTTAATAATTAAAATTGAGAGTTTGAAATCAATATTTTTTATACTTATGGTATATAAAATCAAAATTTTATAACATTGTATAATAATTTGCAAAAATGAAGCCCCGTTTAAAACCGGATAGCTTCTATCGCTATATACCGTAAAGTTCATATACAAGATCACCATATATCAGACCCACCTTCATTTTTACTTGATTTTTTTTGGTGGAATAAAAGGGGTCAGAGTCTTGTATATGACCTAGATCGCAATCGAATTATGGATTTTTATTATCGTTGTTTCAAAAATTGTCGATCCGTTCTTGAAAACAGTGATATAAAAAGAGTTGAGTTGAAAAGCGCGAAAAATGCAGAAATTATTATTTTAAAAATTTTAATAAAGATGCTGCCGAAGAATCAAATTTACCTATATTCACTTTGATAGTAAGTGCTTTATTACATGAGTATCCGGCTTTAACAATTTGACGGTATAGATAAAGAAAGAAAAATAAAAAATAAGTGCCTAAATTGACTGTAGAACACTAAAAAAAATTTAGTACTGTATTGAACAAGTGAGCAAACAATTTTTCATTTTATCCTAACCGATTTTCAACTTTAAGTATCTGCTTAATGTCTCCTTTTAAATTTGCAAAGTATGAACGTACATACGTACGTACATACTTTAAGTCATTTCTGCAACCTGCAATAAAGTATTTACCGTTGAACGAAAAATATTAAATTTCACATGGTGTATTATAACTAAATGGGTGAAATTATTCTTAAAAAAAAAAAAAAAACCAACCGATTTATAAGTTATTATTAGAAATTTTATAACATAAAATGATAAATGAAAATACTAAAACAGCATCAAAGTAGATTCCCACCGACATTGGCATGGAATACTGGATAACTTCAAACAAATCCCCAACTACAACACACCTACCCACAACATACTGATTATCTCTGGAAAACATATCTAAACTTCCCAAACCAAAAATACTTCGAAGTCAACATTACTACTACAACATACTGATCCTCACAACACACAATCCCGGCTGTCATCATAACATTCCCTCGAATAAAACTTGGCCTACACCAACTAAAATCGCACTAACAGCATTATTTATTGTCACGGATTATCGTGAAATCGGATCATCGTGAAATTTAGATTTATTTTATATACGATTTTTAAATTTTTTTGGGG